TGAGTTGGACCTGATTCATAGTGATCCCTCCTTGGGTTTCTGAGGTGGTATCACTACAGAAGTAGATTGCCCAATCTTCCTTCCAAGGAGCAGCTGGTGGGTTTGAACCACCAGCCTTCTGTTAGCAGTCAAGTGCCTCCTTAGGCACTATGCTATCAGAGCTCCTGACAACATGACCTTTATGGGCCAATAAAAGTATTTCCTCAATCTGAAGGTAGATATTGGTGGAGAAGTGATGAGTATAGATAGAAAATATCCAGGTCACAAAGGGTCTTAAAAAGCAATTCTAGTAGTTGAGATCTAATTAGCAAGACAGATCGAAAAGCTATTGAAATTCTGGGTAGTGTAGTGGATTGAATTTTGTGCCCCCAAAATATGTGTTGAATTCCTGGTCTTTGTACCAATGGATGTGATCCTGTCTGAAAATAGGATTTTCTTTTATTGCATAAATGAGGCCATACTTGTACAGGTGGATCCTAAACCTAATCACTTCTAAGTTATAAAAAGTCCAGAATAAACATAGAGACACATATGGGCAAGAAAGATGCCAAGGAATACATAGGATTGCCAACGCTACCTGAAACTTGGAGAGAGGTTCAGAGAAGGAATTGACATGACCAAGACCCTGATTTGGACTTTTAGCCTTTAAAAAACTAAGAAAATAGATTTCATTCTTTAAAGATATGTGCTTGTGGTGTTTCTGATAACAGAATAGTATTAGGTAACTAAGTATTAGGCAGTATTAGGTAAGTAAGGCAGGTAGGTAGACAAAAAATCATGAAAACTGTATTAAAAGACTAGTTATTAAGTATCAGTGTGTTAAGAATGATCAAAGGGAGAGAGACCATATATTTGTTTCAGGAAGATTGAAGAGCCACAGCACTGCAGGGTCCCCCTGACCATGATGGCAATGCGGTCACCCAGGACATCAGCTTCATCCATATAGTGAGTGGTCAGTAAGATGGTACGATCTTGTTTATACTTCTGAAGGAGATCCCAGGTTGCCCTCCTTGAGACTGGATCCATGCCAGATGATGGCTCATCAAGTATCACTACCTAAAACCATGAGAACAGTTTCATGACAATTTCATCTGATGTTAAACAACTACTAGGATAAATGGCTATTCATGTGGGAACACATTTAAGCTAAGATAGGGAATCCAGATTAAAACAGAGGCAAAAACTCTAGGAAAAATGACTAATTCCAAAGCCTATGATCATGTATCATAGTGCCTAAGGCACTTGACTGCTCACCAGAAGGCTGGCGGTTCAAACCCACCAGCCACTCCTC